TTGCACCAGGGCACACAAACTAGCTGTGGCACTGGCAGACCATTTCCTGTTGTTGTTTGCTGAACTTACCTCCAGCAGACCCCAGAACTTTTTTCTTAACCTGTTGTGTCTTTCATACCAGTCATTCTTTCATCATTTCTTTCTGCTACTCTTTCATTAGCTTGTTTAGTAATTTCTCCCAATCCCATGTTTTCCTTGGACCTTATTCACACAGGAGATCTTTGCCAAAATTCAGTTACGTGCCTCTATCTGCACTCCTCATCTGCTCCTCATATAATTGTGTGAGAGGTGACAAAGTCTCTCACTTGATGGCAGACTTGGATGAAACACTCCAGCATTACAGGTTTGTTCACTCACCTGAATGCAACCACACCAAAGCCCTAAGCACACACAAATCCTGATGATGATCTAGCTATTCGCTCTGTTTTTTTTTCTTTTCTCCCACACCAACAAGCTCCCTGCCTCTCTGTCTTTATTTAAATTATGTTAAATGTAAGAAAGGGACTACACATTACAGGTTTTATACATACTGTTGAAGTCAGCGGAGTTTTCTCATCCACTTCAGTGAACCCAACATACTGTTCCAGAACTCAGAGTTCTCTGGATCCAACTTTTCCGCTGGATTTTCTACAGACCCTGGTATCTAGAGATACTGAATACCCAAAGTCAGAACAGCGGCAGTTTATATCCAGTCTGCAAAATGGGAATAGCTACATATGGAACTGAAGCTATGAAGAATCAAGCATCCCCAGCCAGCTGCTTCAAAAACCATGAGATTAACAGCCTCAGCATCTCTCAAATCTCAGCCCCTTTCCTGGAACACCATCACCAATTGGATGATGCCTGATGCAACCTATCCTCCTGAGCTAGGCTAGGAACTGAACCAAAGCTGATGTCCTCAAAACCTCAAAAGAGAGTCCTTGCGCTCACAGTACCAACTCAACTGTGTTTGAGCATACACTCACCCCAGCCCTGCTTTGAGGGACACTGGCTTTGCAGTGAAACCCAGGTGCCCTTACCTGCCTGCCGCTCTCGGGTCCCAGGATGCCCACCTCCCACATGGACAGATGGCTCAGACAAACTTTGGAGGGAGCTGGTGTGAGACTCCTGTGGATTTCAGTGGGAGCTGGATGATGGCCAGGGTGAATTTCCTCCGCAACACACTCTTCCCCACTACAGAGCTTCTTAGGCAAAGCTTATCACCATGGAATCTAAAGTACTGCTAGTACCACGAGAGGCCAGCTTTGAACACCGTCCAAAATTAGTGTCTTCCTGTAACACTAACTTCATTACATCTTCTGCTTTCTTCACCTTCTTCTTTCCTCATTCTCCCATTTGCTTGCCTTTTACTCCCCAAATAGAGCCCTGTGCTGGCCAATGGACGTTACTATTGCCAACAGCAGAAGGGAAGAGTGCAAGGCAGGCTTTCCTGATGCTCTTAAATGTCACTGCATAATAAAAACATTACATATGACTACTCTCAGAAATATAGGCCCCCAACTGTACCTTCTCATGAAAGAATTACAGGAGGGGAAGGATTCTGTTCATGAGGCCAGTCTCCTTAAGATAAGGGTATTTCACTGCTTGATACAGACTTGGAAACTCCCATTTTCCCACCTTCCAGGAGGAAGGTGTGGGCTCAAAGCCCACCTGGGGGAGGTATGGGTGGATCCCAGCTTCATGGGACTCATTTACCACATTAGCCCCTGTGGAAGCATCACAGAGAAGCCATCTCATATCAGCCAAAAGGAAAGTGTACTATGAGCTAGTTCATCATTAACTTGTGCAGCACACAATTCTACATTGTTGTACAGCTTTCTGCAATAATTTCTAACACACAGAGGCTTGATTTTCATTTTGATTATGATTTATAAAACAGATTTAAAATTCCATTTTATTGCTGGAAGGTATTTAAATTAGTTGAGTTTTAATCCAACAGATAATATAAAGAACAGCTTCAGCAGCAGTGAAGTGATTTACAGGTCTAATCCAAAGTGGATACTTGTCACACACCTCATAACAAGAAATACTTTGTAACATACAGAGAGGGAAAGAAAAAGATACTAAAGAAATGGAACCAGTAAAAGAATGTAAGCACATATGAAACAGCTATCCAACATCTCCTTAAATCATCTAATAACTAAACCTGAACCATCTTTATAACTGGAAAGTTAGCTTAAGACTGCTTAAATTGAGGTCAAATTGAATCAGATCACAGCTATTAGATGAGCAGGCACAGCTCTCTAAAGCCAGAGCCACAAACAAGGGAGCCACTTTCTTGGTTGTGTTAGCCCTTGGCTTGCAACACCCAGAGACAAATCTGGTGGTAACTTCAGGCAAAGATTTCTAGAGCTGGAAATAACCTGACATCGTGGTTTTGAAATGGCTAACATTTAATCTCTGAGACTGCTGAAGCAACAGCAGTTATCAGATGTACTGGGTAGAAGAAAGTGGTGATTTAGGAGACTGATTTAGGAGACTATTTGTTCCCTTTAAAGTAAACATTTGTCCAGTGAGATCCTTAACAGTGGCTTGACTTAAACCCAGTGGTTTTCAGCCAGAAGGGATAATGGGCACAGAAGCAGGTTTTTTTTCCTGGACACTTTTTGTTTGGTGGGTTTTGGGGTTTTTACAACATTGTTTTCACAGCCCCTGAATTGACAGGCTTTACCTTTTTTTTTAAACATGTAAATTACTTTCCTAAAACTTGACACTACCTTGCCGCCTGGTAGGGTGAACTAAACCAACAGTTTAAATAGCTCAGCTCACACCTAATAAGCAATTTAAATAGCTTTGCTGAGCTCAAGTAGCTGTATCAGGTTTCACAGCACCATCAGTCACTGCCAAATCCATAGGCAGCACTGAAATGAACCATTAGCAATGGTCACCCCCGAGAGGAAAAGGGGAAAAAAGAAAAGAAAAAACATTTTAAGAGCTAAGAGTACAGTCGTTGTCACCTTATGTGACACCAAAATATGCCCAGGAAGCAAATCCCACTGGAATATCTGGGACAAAACATATTCTTCCAAGACAGACAGACTAAGCTCTGTGCTCGGATCACAACATGCTTCACACAGACAGATGAGGACAGGAGTGCCCATTTCACAGAAGGCAAAGCTGAAGCCCGCAGAGGTGAAGGATTTAACAGCAGCAATGGAACAGTGAGGAACGTGGGGGAGCTGTGCCACACGTGCTAAGCCATAGCTGCAACAGCACTGTCACAAATGTACTTCCAAGTTCTCTGTATCAGGAGGATGAATGGCAAGATAATGACGTGAGACACTGGCAAAATGTAAACCCACAAAAGCCCTTGTGTGCACTCTGTACAGAGCGTATGAGGGTGTACAACCCACGCCACAGCCCTGGGAGTGAATGATGCTGGGAGACTGATCTCACATGCACCACGCTGAGTCTGAAATAACTTACCTAAGTGAAACACATTAAATCATGATATTGAACTAGACTGGTGAATGTGCCTCCTCTACCTGTACAAGTCTGCATGACCCAGCACTGCATACGTAGCAGCACAGACACAGAGCGCACAGGGCACACAATCAGAGCACTCAAAAGACTCCAAGTCTTTCGCAGCTTGAACAGCTCTGGATGCAGAGCCAGAGCACTTCGAGCCCAGAGCTACGGCTGACATATACAAGGGAGTGGGTGACCACTGCAATTGTCCACTCAGTTCTCTCCAAGCCACAGCTAAACTTTTCAGGTAAACAGATCTACCAGCGTGGAAATGGTTACAAATGACAACACACAAATATTTGCTTTAGAGCTGCCCAGGTAAGTGACAGAGGCAAGTTTCCCCCGGATAGATGTTTCTGACCACCCTGGACTCAGTAGGGCAGTGCTGCTCCAGCCAGGTTTTGTTGCTGCTTTCTCCAAACCCCACGCCAGTTTCTGGTTTATTTTCCAGTGGAACTTTACCTAATTAAGAAGCAAATGAGCCCCTTGTAATCCTGAAGTGATACACAGAGAGATACTCATTTAGATCTTATTTCTCCCTCTGCCTCTGTACTTGCATTCAGTACTCCTGGGTATCAAATTCAGACACATGCATGGTATTTTAATTCATTATTTATCCATATGGTCTCGAATTGTATCACTAACAATAACAAACAAATCTACAGTGGGAGTTTGCATAGTTGGAAGTGGCATGAGGAAGCTCAGAAACTGGAGAATGATTATTCCTTGCCACAGAGGGGTGAGGAGCCGTGAGGAAGAGGAAAGGTGTAAGAGAACATAATAGGATAAAAATAAAGCAAATTAAATGTGTAGGTTTGGAATCCCCCAAGACATTCTGGTCGAGAGGATCTCAATCCTATATATAGTTTAAGCCAAAAGCACAACGTTAACATCTGTTTGCTGAGATTCAGTTCACGAACTGCTCTAATGCCAGCATTGGGCTTTTGTCCCCTAGTTAAAGTTAAAGGATGGGAAAAACACAGTATTCATTTTCGGACGGATCAAGATGAATTCTCCAAGAGGCGATTACATGTGATCAGAGACTTCTAGTATGTTTAAAATAAAAGACAAGGGGGGACATTTAGGCAAATTAGAGGACAACTGGCACAGTTCAGGCAAGTTTATTGTGAGCCTCCAGCAGCCGAGAGCTCTCGCTGAACCAGAGCATCACACATCTGACAATGAACTCGCCGCTCAGCCCGGCGCGCAGAGCCCACGGCTTCCCGGCGAGGGACCGGACCCCGGCCCGCAGCTCCCTTCCTCGGGCCGCGATACCCTCAGCTCTTCCTCGCTTATTCCAGCGGCGATTTTGCCCCCGGTAACGCCGGGGGCGGCTTTCCCCCGCCGGTGGCTGGGGCGGGAGCCTCCCCGCCGCCGCTCCGAGCGGGTGATAAATGATTAATTACGTTATAAAACGCCGGGGTCGCGGAGCGCACCCGGGCGACCTGCGGAGGGGCCGGGGAGGTGAAGGGCGGGACGCGGGGCTCACTCGGGGTCGGCGCCCACGCGTGGCCGGGGCCCTGCGGACTCACCCCATGTCGCGGCACCGTTCGGCGGCGGCACCCCCGGGCGGCTCCCCGCGCTCGGCGGCCAGCGGCGGCCGCGTCCCCACTTCGCACATGCGGCCGCCCCAGCCCCGACACCGGCTCCGGCTCCGGCTGGCTGCGGCTGCCCGGCTGCACGGCGGCGGCGGCGGCGAGGCGTCCTGCTCCTCCTCCCGCCGCCTCCCTCCCCCCTTACATAACCTCCTTCCCGGGCGGCGGCGGCACCGAGCAGCCTCCCGCGGCACCCACCGCCCTGCGAGGCGGCGGCGCGGGGCGGGGCGCCGGGCTACCCCCCGGGGCCCCTCCGCTTCCCAGCGCGGGACCGGGCAGCCGGCGGTGAGAGCGGCCCTGCGGGGGTTCGAGCCCCGGAGCGGGGCGTCAGCATCGCGTGTCCCCGGTGCGCGGGGCCGCGACCTGTCGTGGGGGGACGGGGCCGCGGGAAAACTTCGGGTGAAGTTGCGGGGCCGGCCCCGCCCGCTGCCGATAAACCCCAGCGGCGGGAGGGGGCAGCCCAGACCCAGAGACCGGCGGCTCCGGGGGCGCTTGCCCCGCGGCGCGGGCACGGCTGCGATCCGCCAGCGGGTCCCGGGATGCCCTTCCCAGCCCGGGCAGCGCTGCGCCGGGGATGACTCGTGGAGCACGAGCAGGCGGTTCTCTGCCCGCGGCTTGCCACGCTTTGAATCCGTTTTTCCAGGGAATCGACGGGACCGAACGCAGCCCCCTCATTCCCCGCGCCCCTGCCCGGCCCGTACCCGCGGAGCGTCCGATACCCCGCTTCAGCCATGTTCGGGCCACGGGCCCGGGCAGCCTCAGCCCCAGAGCCCGAATGCGGGGCTCTTACCCAGCCTCCACCCAGCTCAGCCCAAGGTGCTGATGCACCAGGACTGACTCTCTTTGGTCCTCCTCAGCCCCCTCCAAATCTGTTCCAGCCATCTACCCTTCCCATAGAGGTACCACGAAAACAGAGGGATGATTCCTTCCCTCGGGAGGAAAAATTGCCCTCATCAGCTCTGTTACGGCTGCCTAACCCCGCGGGTGACACTGGTGCCTGACAGGCATCACGTAGGACACAAGTCCATAGGAACGCCATGGGCCTGCTCATTCAGGTGTTTGTAGGGCCGTGCTACACAGACACAGTACTTCTGTGGGGAAAAGATGCCCAATTCACACAGAAGAGAGGATTTTAACTTCTCCCACACAAAGTTATAATTAATACACTGCCATCAAGAGTGATTATTTTCATCTCTTTTTTAAAAAATCTCACGTTGACTTCTCCTTTCTTCCAAAGAAAGTTTAGAAGTTGTGGGGAAGGTGCAATGTTTGCTTCTTTAACTTTGTGTGTCATAATTGGGGGTGTGCCCAGTGTCACCTGGGAACCTCATGGGAACCCTCAAACCAGCAACCTAACACCCTCCAGCTCTGCACAATGAAACTGTCTCCCACTCTGACAGACAACTATTTCCTGTTGTCTGGAACACCAAAATGGAATTTCAATCCCATACACTCAAATAAAGTTTATGCCACAGGGGATAAAAAAGCAGGGTGAATTACACAGACATTTTCAAAAGGCTGTGAGATGACACTGCTCACACGTATCTGCTCTTCTCACCATGCGCAGATGGTTAATGTGGATGCTGAAGGAGATTTAACTCCTTACCTAACCACTGCTGTCTTCCCATGCCCCACTCTGCCAGCCAAATGTGAGGTTCCATTTCCTCCAGGATAGTGGAGGTGGTGACATGTAGGCATAGGTGACAATCCTCTTGTGTTCATGATGGCCTGCAGCCTGGAATATTGCTTTGGTGTGACTATTCTTCTTGTCTTGGGGAAACTGCGAGGGGAAGCATTCTCTGAAGGGGAAAAATAGCAATCTAGTGGAAAAAACTCCCACCATAAATGGGGTGATTTTATTTCACTGGTTTTATACCATTTACTTCATTTTGCTAAATCACATACTCCTTTCATTACAGAAGTCTTGTCTTAGTTCTCTCCAACTAATGAGCTCATTTTGGTGAGTATCTGAAAGCTGTTTCATGAACTTGTGACTTACAAATGTCTAATGGAGTTGGATCAAAATGGAGTAATGGACTTACTACATGTGTCACAGTAAGATGAAAATTGGACATTAGAAATGCAGTTGCCTTAGAATTTTCTAATGTTTTAATCTTTCCCAATCTTGCATTCAAGAGCGTATTTTCATCCCCAATTATGAAAAATAGCTTAAGCTGATGGAAGCATAATTGGCTGTGGAATTTGCATGATACAAAATTTTGTAGCTGGCTTTTGTTCTTAAGGTCTTCCCATTTGACTTATGATCTTTTCAGAACTATCTTCTAGAAGAGGCAGAGTTGTGGTCCCATTCCTCAAGGACCCTGAGGCATGTGTTGTGGCAGATAGCAAGTTAACCCAGTTTTCTTCTCATGTTTGGGTTTCTGCAAGTGCACTCCCTCAGCCTAAAATTCCCTCTGTTCTTCCAGAGAGATGTGATATTCCTCTTTCTGAAGCATGGCACACTGTTGTTGCCCTCTTATCTCTGCCAAAAAGGGGATGAAATCCTGGCCTCAATTTAAGACAAAGGTAAAAGCCCCATGGATCTGAAGAGGGCTCAGATCTCACACAAACTGTTTATCAGTACTGAGTGAAGTGACTGCTCTACAAACAGTCCCATCTTGAACTCCTCCACCATCACAGGGTCCTGATTCTTGTACAGTTCCCATTGATTTACAATATTTTAGGATAATTCAGTATTCAATTTGCTTAAAGTATTCTGAGTTCCTCATAAATGAGAACTATAAATATGCTATCAAAATTAATCAGTTCTTAAGCTCTCATATGTGACATGATATTTCACTTCCGATTTGGCTCCAGTGCAGGATGTGTACATGATGGTAATTCAGTCCTCATTTAGTATTCACAAGTGTGCTCTTGTTCCTGTGGCACGGTTAGGAAGACTCAAAATACTGAAGGCGCAGGATCCCTCAGTATGATTCAAGCTGAGCAATAAAAATATCCACGTTCTGTAAATGGATGTAACTTCTTTAGATGAGAAATTTCTCCTATTCCCACAGGCCTCCTAAAGGTATCATTTTTTGATTCCTAGATACAGGGTGAATATCCTTTCAGAAACCTAGCAATCAGGAGCATGTACCCAGTCTGCACTCTGAAAAGCAAAGAGCTCACTGGTCTCTTCCTCCCTCTCCACATTTCTGTCCTCTTCTTTTGTTTGGCTTTCACTATTGCCGTCTTTGCCACTCTATTTTATTTCAGATATAATTTTATTTCAGAAAACCTGCTGTTCAGTCTTTTTCAAGCCTTGAATGTGAGTACCTAGCACAGTGTTGAAGGCTGTAAAATTGTAAGAGGCTGATGGATTTCTAATAATACTGGTGTAGTCAGAGAGCATCTGTCAGCATTAATAAACAATTCGGGACACATCCTCTAGGCATCTCTGTACTTTGGTCTGCTAGAAGTCCAGCCTGGGACACACCCAGGAGTGTTCACTGAACCTTTGGAACATTTGGAAAGGTGGCCCCATACTGGGAGAAAATCTTGCTCCCTTTAACAGACATACTTCTTACAAGGCAAGACAGAAAACAGATACTCACAGTTCTCCTTAATGTTTTCATTCATGTAGACACTTTGATTGTGTCCACTCCACTGTGAAGTAAGTTGGTCACTCTTCAGGTGACAGCTTTTCTCTGCATCTAGTGGGTCTTTCTGCTCTTCTCTGAAATTGATTTGGCAATGGGCAGACTGGGACTCTGCAGAGCAGGTGAGGAGTGCTGCGTGTAGGAGCCTCCTTACGGCTTGTGTTTGAGTCTATGTATTTGTTTCCTCCTAAAGCCACTGGGGTTTGAGCACATATGCATGAATGGAGATCTTCATAAAGCTGCTCACAGCAACGCACAGGTCTCCCAGCTGTTGAGCTGGATCCTGAATTGCCCCTCAAAATTGTACCAAATGTGCTCAGTTTTTTCATTCCAATACATAGTCCTTTGCATTTCATATGGTTGGATCTTAAAGGTGATCTTAAATGTCTTTTCCAACCTAGTTGATTCTATGATTCTATATGCCACTGTAGAATTAATCAGCTTTTTCACTCAAAGTTTATTTTTGTCATTTTCATTTTAAATCCCCCCAAAAAGAGAAGAAAAAAATCCATTTTATCTGCGAGTACAGATGATGACTCTGGTTTTCTTCCAGGCTTACATCACAAAAAGCCATTGATTTGTGATTTATAAAATGGAAGTTAGAGCAATCAGGCACCAGTTATGCAGATGGGGGAGATTAGTTTTTTTTTAACTAATTCAGATCAAATTTTTTGCTCCTGGCAGGCTAAACTGTACAGGAGATACTAAAAGGGAAGAACTATGTGCCTTGCCTGTTAGAAACAGGACCCTCATATTGCAACTTGGTTGTGATGATGGTGGTGACAGTCAAGGCTACCAGTAGAGAAGCCGAAGGGAAAAGATATTCACATGTTTAGTGAAAACTTTATTTTCAAACATGCAGAATTGCAGGACCATTCACTTCAGCAAATCTCTCTGCTAACATCTAAATTTTCTTGTAGCTCAGGAGTTTTTAATTCTCAGGCCCTTTCTACCATCTGTAACTCAATCTCTATTTTTTAAAGAAATTGCAGACATCTGTTTAAATACCCATCTCTTCCGTCACATGGAATTTTGGATTCAAAAAATCTAAGCTCGAAAATAATACCAAAGTTGGCTTACATTTCCAAGCAACCACGGGCTGGCATTTTAAATGCTGCCTAGTTAATTAGCCCAACCCGCTCTACTGGTGGTGTTGTGCTCTATGGTACATGAACAATATCTGCTGTTGGTGCAGGTCAGCGAGCTGGGCAAAGAGGATGTGCTGCCCATGCTGGGGGATAGGGAAGAGGGGAGGTGGAAAAGAAACCCCTAGGCTCACTGCAGCCATCTGTCCTGGAGCAGGAAGGGGGTCTGGCCTCCAAGGGGATTGCAGGGCTGAGGGACATTGCTGAGCCTGTGACTCTGCTGTGGTCCTGTATTGTGTATAAAACTAATCCTTCCTGTGATACTGGAGGCAGCTCAAGTGGCATAAGCAAAACCGAATTTTTCTGCCCCACTCCTGACTTTCTCTAGCAGTGGGTACAACTTCAGAGCGTAATCACGGACATGTAGGGAAGAGGGACAGGTATGGCAGGAGGAAAGGGAGGGCAAAGCAGTGGAAGCCAGGGAAAGGGATGTGGGGTGTTCCTAGGGTCTGTAGTGCAGCCTGTCCTCCTTCAAGACACCCTGCCTTCCCTTCGCTCTTCTCCAGAGTCCTGGACTTGCCAGCAGGCAGCTCTCCATCCTTCAGCTTCCCCCCCAGGGTAACTCCCCACTGCATCTTCATTCTCCCCAAAACCAGTATTCCCATATAAAATAGGGCAGAGGGAGATAGGATGGGGCCAGACCTTTCAGAGCATTCTAACTGTCCAGAGCTGCTTGCCTAGGATGCTTTTAGGAATTCATACTTCATACTGGTGCAAAATACATCACTCTTTCTGTTTCTTTAGGACTTACTCATTGATGGACTTTGGCACTTAATCAGCTCTTTGATTGCCTTACTGTTAAAGGTAGATATTCCCTAGGTACACTGGAGGTCTGATTTATTTACAAGAATGCTCAAGGGCTTGATAAAGGCTTCTATGTTTCCTTGTGGGCAGAAGTAATGAATTCCTCACTTGGATGAATTTCTCCAAGGACTGAGCACTACAGAGCGCCAGGTGGGAATGAAGCCACACGGGATTTCAAGCCTATTTGCAAAATCTTATGGTTGAGGTATAGTGGTGAGCACCCCAAAGCTCTCACTGAAGCTCCTAAGGACATGAGTGGCTCTGCAATACTAGATTTCTCACCTCCAATTCTGGAAAATCCCTTGAGTTCAGGGAAGCCAGGCCTGGCTCAGAGATAGGAAGTCAGAAGTGCCCAGCTGTCGGTGTCTTTCACACCCATAGCTTTCTTGTGAAGGAAACTACTTGTCAAGAGCCCTACTGGATGTAATTATATCATTTTCAAGTAATGTTAAAAACCTTGACTTATACCAGTCCTTATGTCTAAGTCCTGCTAAATGCCAATAATTAATCAATAATAACAGTGAAGCCAGAAGGCCATAAATGATGCAGAATTTGTTTTCTTTTTACTACACTAATAATTAACATCAGGAAAAGTAAAAAATAATTATTTGACAAAAAACCCAACAAGAATACAGCTCTCACAAAGATGCCAGGACTCCTTTGATAGGGAAATGCATTTTAAAAGAATCTACTGGGTGCAAGATGGGTTGCATGTCTTCCCTTCATAAAACTACCTCAAGGGGAGCTTCTACATTCCTAATTCCACCTACTGCAACTGTTCTGCAAGAATACTTAGATGACAAAATACATAAACCCTACCAATCAGCTAAACAAACACAATCAGTTTATTTTTAGCTCCATATTTGGCTTCTCAGGAAGTCTTTACTGTCGAGACTCTTAAATCCAATCTTGTGTAATTTTAGTTACCAGAAGTTATAAAAGCGCTTGTACCTACTGGTAAACAGATTCCACTTTTCACGGGAAATTTCATAGTCCTTTTGGGGATGTATAAAATCCATGCTTTTTGAAAAATAAGGATAAAATTTTTAGTCACTGGTAAATATTTAAAAAAAAAAACACCCCCCCCCCAAACAGCATTTCAGGGACATGTTTGCAGATCAAGCACCTGGAGGAGCACTCTCTAGATCCAGAGTGCTTACCTGGGCTTTGCAGAAGTACCATCAAGATGTCAGGCAGCAGCAGCCAGGATTTAATATCATACTGATGTTTTCAGCCATAGCTCAGTTAGGCCTTTGGAGCCAGGGAGAGGGGTCACAGTGCACTCTCATGGGAGATGACACCAAGGACACAGTTACAGAATTCAGTTTAACTCAAGGGGATTTGGTAGAAGGTACAGAACACTTAAAAATTCCAGAAAAGCTTTGAGCTATGTTTTGTTTTAAATTAATCTTTAGTCAATAAGGAAATATTAATCTACACACATCAAAACCTTTTCTACATACTTGAGAAAATTAAATCAACACTATAAAGTATGGATGACACATATCCTCTATTTTTCATTTACTGTTAATTTGCAGAAGAGCACAATTTACATTGTGAATGTACTAATATTTTTCTAAGTTTAATTTGGTGGTTTTCCTGCAGGAATAGGCCGATTTTCATCCCTACCCACCTTTAATAATATTGATTACTGTTATTCTGCTCCTCAGTGGCTGACTGAATATTCTCCCTGCGTCCAGCTGGTGAGTATGCTTTTCCCAAAATAGCGTGTGACCACTCTTTCCTATATTTGCACGAGAGATGTACTATTATTATATTTGTATGGAAGAAGTTGATCCTGCAAAAATGTTTTTCACTGGTATCTCTTGTCCAACTTGTAAATTGATTTACAATTTGAAATGTGACACTGGAAGTGGTATATGACAGAAGATCAAAGCAGGAAACATTTTGCAGTCTCTTAGGAATCTGGCCAGAGTTGCTCTTTTTTAGACCCTCTGTTTGCCCAGAAGAATTAACATCTGCTCATAGAGAATAATGTGCAGCTATTGTCACTTAGTATTCAACTTTCTTCCAATATTTAAAGCTGAATTATTCATAGTTTTAAGAACATGGTTTTTGAGATACAATTCCACACCAGTGGCTGCACTGGGAAAAGAGCAGAGATCAGCCCTGAAAGTGTAACAAAGCATGTTTTGAATTCACCGGACATGCAAAGCCACAAATGCTAGCCAACCAACATTACATGCTTAAGGCCACACACCATGCACCCGAATTTCCTCATGCACAATAACGCCTGTGGTGACAACTAGACTCTTGAGGAAACAGCCTTTAAAATGCATTTTCCTCTCCAGATAAAGGAATTCTCACTACACAGGCACCTTCCACAAGGTAGTGCTTTGTATTTTTAGCTGCTTTTATGTGTAGGTATCTCAATAATATCCACACAGTAGCCAACCCTGGCTCCCATGATGCCAATGGAAAAAAACCTTCTTTTGACTTCACTGGGATCATGATTTGGTCATAATTGATTAATCCTCATTCCATTCCTTTGAGACAAGGGACGATATATAGAGATCACTTCACATACCACTGCAGCATGGTCGTTTCTGGAAAATATCAGCTGTTCCAAAACAGAGAGGAACCCAGCATGCAGTTTGGAACAGGATGCGATGGCCAACACGATCTCCATCTGAAACAATACAGGAAATGCTGATAGCCAGAGTGGCATTGCTGAAAATAGATTTTGGCCAGCACACAGGGATTAAGAGCCTTACTTTTCAAAAGGTGCTCTGGGACCTCTAATAACCATAAATAGTCAAGACTTTGTATTTGTGCCTCACTGGAAAGATGGCAGCACTTGCAGTACAGCGTTTCCTCATATCATGCTGACACATTGCTTCATTACTGGATCATCTGCAGCTTTCAACAGGACTGACGTGACTTCCGAGTCAAACAGAGAGACACAGCAAAGTCCTGACCCCACTGAAGTGGAAGTGAACAGTACTTGGAACCAGTGGAACAAGGATTTCTCTCCCTGAAATAGTTTGTGAGATCTGGCAGCAACGTTTCCCATCAGATAGCAACTATGAGATCTTTGATACTTTATATAACTGCCATCCTTAAATAAAACATATATCTAGTTCATCATTTTTTCCCTGATTTAATTAGAATCTTACTTAGTTTTTTCAGGTTGGTGAAGTCTTATCTCGCAATCTGTTGCAGATGCCACTGTGTGGAGATTAACGTTTGCTTTTTAATTAAAGTTTTACTTGGGAAGTTTGTGATACCCCCACACCAGCATTTAAGACCAAGAAAATAACTGTATATTGTTCTTAAAATGAGCAGCCATTGCATAATATGAAACACTCATATTCAAAGTATCACCAAAAATTACTGTGTGGTTTTAATTTCTCTGTGAGATTTTGGGCTTGTTTTTAAAGATCCTCCATCAGAACTTTGCATTTTCCCAGACAGCAGTTTTATATTTCTTAACTTTAGATGGTTGAGGAGTCAGCATGTTCTTTTGCACTGGTTCCCAACCAACATTAGAAAGCAGTGTTCAGCTGAGCACTTACACGCTAAGCAGCTGGTTGCCACCAGAGCACGATTTCTGCAGGCGGTGCAGGGATGGGAAGGAAACAGCCACAGCTCAAGAAGGTGGTGAAGAGAAATTGGGAGGTTAAGCAGGGCCATAGGAACAGCAGCACTGTGGAAAGGTTCCAGGAAACTGCCACAGGAGTCTGGGGCAAAGATGGAGGAGTTCCAGCAGTGCTGGGGCAGGTAAGGACGCTGTCCTCAACATCCAAGGCAGACATCTTGAGGAGGCAGAAGGGGACACAGAGGGGAGGCAGCCACAGCATAGTCTCCTGAAAGATTAGGAACCCTTGTATGCTGGAAAGAATGACCTCCAGTCCTAATTTAGTAACAGGAGGGAGAGTTATTACTGCTAGGAGCAGTGGTGACCTAGACCCCCAGACAAGGATCAGCCCCAGCACAGAACAAACATAAAATGGAAAGATAGTCTTTGCCTGAGGAGTTTCCAGATTTTGTGTAGGTTGAGGCATAATGCAGGGATGCACAGGGGAGGGCACAGTAGTACCACTCAGAGGCAGTGTCAGACCAAGGAGCAGACTCTCAGGCCAGCTCTGCAAATTCCTGCAGGCTCCTCTGCAGCTCAGCTAATTCACTTACACCTCATTTCACTCTAGCACAGTGTGGTCTCAATACAGATTGGTATTTCTGGAAAATTCTGATTTACAATTTTTTTAAAAATACTCCATATTAAGAGGACACTCCAAAGTTGAAGTAGCACAAAGTTGGCCTATACTTCAGCCCTTGCTTTCTCTAATGGCCCTTAAGAGGAACTGCAGAGAACATTCGAGAATTCTTATGTGCAAAGAGAAGAAGAGAGACAAATTCCTGTGATAACTAACAGCTTCTTCGTAAAGCCATTTGGGGAGAGCCATATCTAAAGGAGGGAGCACTACTTAGATCAATTGCACTGACCTGAACCTTCAGGGGGAACAAAACACTGAAATACTGTTGTATTTCATTGCCTTTAGCAGAACCTGAACATGTGCTTACACATGACTTTGACACATAGAAGCAGGACAGGCATGAGTGGGGCCGCATGGCCCATCTATCTGCAGGGCTGGTGGCAAGGTCAGCTTTCAAACCTGGGCCTCAGAGAGGACAAGGGAGTCCCACATAAGGAGCAATGCCCTGGTGCATGGAGGATGTCACCATCCAGAGAAGGGAGACTCTGGGAGTTAAATGGGAAACTCAGGAATCCCCTGTAGAGCTTGAATGTTTGACTTTGTAGCCGAGGCACCCGACTGGTGTGCAGCAGGCAAACTGCATAAACTATCCAGCCTGGGAGAAATGCTAGACGTGTGCTAAAACAGGCATAACCACTTCCCTCTGCTAGATCCTAGGTTTTTCAAGGATCTGAGTTTCTGAATTAAACATAATAGAAATTGTTACCAGATGTGCATGTCAGGGCCCTGAATGCACTGACAAGCCTTGATTGCCACAACCAGCGACCTGGGGCCTCCCGCACACCCCTGCCCCAGGCACAGGGGCTCATGCAAGCTCAGCCTTGGTCCCTTGGTCCCTGCTGTTGTGGCTATGCTGGGCTCCAGATGCAGCTGTGCTGTGGCTGTGCTGTGCCTGCACACGGACCTTGTTGATCTGTGTTGAGCAGCGCCCCATGGACTGAATTTCAGACTTGCCTTGGACCTGTTTCATCCCCATGAACTTGTCTGGTCCTCCCCACCAGCCATGCTGTTGGCTCCCCACCCCTCTCTTTTAGAAAATTCTCTAAATTGCCCTTCTGAACTCAGATAGGTGCAACTAAATTCTAACTTACAAGCTGGTGTACCCACACTGCAACAGATTTGAATGTTTTAGACTGGATATGGACATGAGAAATGAGCCCAAACTGAAATTAAATATCCAACTAGAAAAGAACATACAGAATGAATAAAACTTAGCCCTAGAAACTTCTGCAAGTATCTCCTTTATATTTTGCAACTATCTTAACAATAGGCAATCCGTGATAGCACTGATTCATACATTCCCACTTGCAGGATTACTTGACATCTAAAAAGTGTCTGAGTTGGAGTTTAGACAGGCTGATGATTATGATGAGTTTGATATCTTAGCGTTTGGCTACTCCATTTTCTGACTTTTAAGCAGTTCCACAGAAGTACACTTTAAGTATCTGAATATTCCTCCCACTTTTTTTTTCTTCTTTGTTTTCCATTTGTACAGTACCTACGTCTGGGAAAGAGCATAACCTGTGCGCCAGATGTGCTATGTAAAAACTTCTGCCTGCCCTTCAGCCCCAGCGTGTGTGCCTCACGGGGTCTAACCCATCTCCACCCCAAATGAGGAACATATGGAGCACCATGAATGGCAGAAACAAGACTTCACTTTGAACTACATTCCTCCTATCAAAGGGCCCTCTGTCTTGCCTTCTTCTTCTCTGTTCCCCTGGGTAATCATGAGGAAAGGACTGAACATTTGGAAAAGCCTCCTGGGGATGAATTCATTTCTAGTGTAACTCTGCTGAAGTTAATGGTGTTGCACCATAGATTAAAATGGCACCATAATATTAAAAACCAGAGAAGGCATACCACTCTGTAATTACTGTCTAAGAGAGCAAAAATAATAAAAATGATTCATTCTTATAGACCCCAAAGGGCACAGCTGGCTTAGTCAGTTTAAAAGGTGAAAATAAAAGAAGGCAGCTAGAATGTAGTGATTTTTAATTTGTATATATGTATATAGATATGTATAAATGACAGTCAGATAACACCACCTCTGCACTAATTTAAAGAACAATACACTAGAAATATAATTGAATGTGATTGTGAGTTTTAAAAGACTGACAACAGAAATAGCTTTTAGGAAAATTAAAGGCCTTCTTTCATAGTGGAATAAATTGGGAATAAATTCCATTTAATCAAGTGTTACACTGTTGTAAGCTTAATGCAAAGGAACTGGGCCCCACAACACCAAAACTGTTATTCTGTAACACAATCAAGCACCAAGAACTGCATTTTCCCCCTTTTAAAAAAAGGACAATGTTATTTTTTTAGGCAGTTAACATTTAAAGGTCATTGTTACGGTAAGGAAACATTTCTTGTATTAAGTTTAGTGAAGCTGGTAGAAACGGTGCAGTCTGTTCCTTTATGGACTTCACTTTACAATACCATATGGAGGTGTGTGAAAGACACTCTGAGGCTCAGCGATATTGTACAATATAACAGCAAAGCCAAGGCAGAGATCTGACAGAATAACGGGCTTCAGAGGCATTTGTCAGCAACAGCTGTTATATCTCAGTCTTTCCTGTTATTGAAGTGAGCTTCATCTAGGCAATAATCCCTTCGAGCCAAAGGAATAATACCCACGATGAGAACTGATCTTCCGAGCACAGGAGGCACTGGAGAAAGAGCACAACTCCAAATATTTCTGCAGATTGGCTGAAAAGTATCTCTGCTTACCTATCTCTCAGTGCAATGAGTGATCTCACAAACACTTTGCAGTCATTAGATGTCCCCTGGCGGTCTTACAGCCTCTTGTGCCCACAGAAACTACTTTCCTTTAGTGTGTAATCAGTAACAAGGGTGCCACGCATGCCCTTTGTACCTGCTGTTAGCCAGAACCCAAAGTCTTGCTCTCTCTAGCAGTGCCAGACACCACCATTTCCTAGAATAAATTATCTGGGGAAATCGGGTTTCGTTGTACAAACAAACCAGGCTTTCAGTTACACTGTAACTGAGACACTGCAAAAAGAATGAGTGGAGAAGGGAACTGGATGGCAGGAAATCACTCAGCAGATTCAGCAGGCTAAGGAAAAAAAAAGGCAGAGTTTTGAAGATAAATACATTTTCACTAAAATATCTGATATATTATTTTGTTATTAAAAAACCCGGCAGGATCCATAACAATCTATGGAGGCTTCTCTGTTTATTCGGTTATAGACAAATATTCCCTTGATCAAACAGGCTGCAATTACACGGGATGTTAGTTCCTTAGTTGATTTCTCAAGGTAGGTATTAACAATAAAGTAAAAGAAACCTGACTATTTAAAGATGTAGAAATGCACACAAAAAATCAGTTCTCCTTTTCTCTTGCTAGTGAGATACATGCTGAGTTTTCATTAAAAATGCCATAGCTGGCAACCTCTACTGAGTTAAAGCAACAAACCTAGTCAGAAGGAAATGGAAAATTGCAAAAAGTAAAAGATTTTAAACAAAGAAATCTTGAATAATGTTTTCCTTTCACTTCTTGGTACAGGCTGGTTATCCTGTACAGCAGACTTACTTATTTTCTCAAGAATTGTCCATAATAGCAAGGGCTAGAAATTAATTTTCAAATGAAAGTTGAGTATAATGAAAACACAGGAGTCTAGAAGCTGGGGATTTATGTAAAACATCACATACAAAATCTTGTGACAGAACTAGATACTTACAAAAATAACTGCCATTTTCCATTGTTTCAAGACTTTTCTAGTTTTAGTGTATATTCCTTTGTTCAGGCAGGAAGATCCATTCTACAAAAGCTTCATTAATTTCTGATAGGCTAAAAGGAACAACACTTAGTTCAAATTTTAGAAGATAAGGCTTCATCTAACAGCACGTTATTTAACATAATGAAATCCACAGAAGAAAAAGCAAACTCTTCGAGGCTTTATCACACTACAGTAGACTTCAAAGATGCTGATTACAAGATTGTGTTTATACAAAACTAACACACTAATTACCTGGAGAGCCTTGAAGTGAGCAGAAGGATTGCAAGAGTGGATTATAAAGTCCTCAGTCTTGATAATACTTGGAGCTAGACCTTTTGAGTACCTGGGCACCTACTATGTAGGTATGGGCTTTGTGAGGTATTTATTGGGTGCTGAAAGTCCTGATTGGTGACAGTAGTAATTTTTCAGTGACCCGGTTCCTTTAAAAATCACCTGTCACTTTGGGTTTTTTACAGTTTGAACTTTAATGTAACATCTATGAGAAATCTTATGATATTGCCACCTAGACCCTTCTTGATGTTATAATTCATAGCAGGCATAAAGACATAAAGAAAAAAGATCCAAAGCACAAGCACCGTATAAATTTAAATATAATATATACAATTATGTGCCACTCTGATTTAGCCATTCCCTGCAAGTGTTTTTCTGTGTGGAATATGCTAAGCAGAGCACCTTAGCAAAACTGTTAATTTGTGGAGTACACTGCTCACAGCATTTACAAGGGGCACATGCATTCAACAGAACTTTTATATATAGGCTTAGATTATGTACACACTTAAATGGGTGGCTGACTTGAGTCTGTAATTAAAAGTTTTAATATTAATTTAAGCTTGGTCTTTTAATGAAAAATGTCACCCATGAAACAGCAGTCTCAAAGAAAAAAAAAAGCATTTCCCTTTTATTAAAGATCATCTGACTAATTTTATGCATGAAATCCTCTGTACACACACGTGAAACTACAGTATCCAGTGGTCAAAACAAAACATGTCTGGGGAAGAAATAAAATCCTACCTACTTCTGCCCATTTGAACAGGGCAGTCAGTAAAACAGGGATTACATGGGGAAAACTTAAGCTAAAATATATTATTTTTCAGCCTCAGTGACAATTTGTTTGGCTTAGAACTAGTATTCAGGCTAAGGTATTTGCATTAGGCTGTTCAGATTGAGGTCACCATTTCTATTCTGCAAGTGACAATACACTCCTGCTCTAGGTCATGCAGGAGAGGAGACTGTAATTACTGCTGTTTATATGAAACAAAAGGCACTTACTGTGGTCTAATATTTTTGGAGAATTGGATGCTGCTGTCACTGTTGCTGGCGTATCTTGTTTCAAGTGATGAGCTCAATTATCAGTCTCTGTGTTTGGCTAGTGCCTGTGAGCGATAGTCTCTAGAATCATAGAGTCTCTAGTAGAGCTTACAAAAACCCATTGCGTTCTGAAAGGGTCCTACAACAAATCAATTTCTTATACACATCATGAGAGACCATTTAAAACTCACTGGTTTAGGAGCTGTGGAAAAGAGTCAGCAATACAAAAACGTCAGTGTTGTGGAAACAAGGTGAACAGGGACACCACCACCACTTCTGATACAGGAAGGCTGTGATGCCACCAGTCGTTCAGAGGAGAGAGGCAACACCTCATCCCCATGCTGCACATCCTTTGGGCAGTGCGCTGTCAGTAACTGCTGTGGCACTTCATGAATTAGTAATAACAGCCAGGGTCGAAGAAGTACAGGAGGGGAGGCACAGTTCCCTGCCTCAAGCCATTTTACCTGCACAGGACCTCCTTTACTACAAATTTTGACACTTGTGCATAATTTCACGTGTATTAAAGGTAACAGGACTTAACCACTACCTACAGCACCAGGTGGGAGTGTAAATGTGATGCCGAAGCAGACATCAAACCAGATTTCTTTCGGTTTACACAGAACTATTTAGCTGCCAAAACCCCTTCATGTCATCCTACTTTCCTCACACAGTAGTCAAACCATCGCTACGCTTTTTTATGATTAAGATACACTTACACCGCATTACCAACAGCCACAGGGCTACAGCTGTAGGCGCCACGTTCACTTCACCCTTTCCAGATTCACCTTCCTGGTAAAATCCAAGTATTTCAGGTATCACCTCCTTAAAACCTGCGTAGGAGCCAAGGAAAGCGCCCCACAAATGTCAAGGCTGTTTATAGCAACGGAGTTTGTATCAAACCCTAATTTAGGGGAATCAATCCTTCCCCCCCAAGGGCTCCCCTCCGCTGCCAGGCCGGCGGCTCACCTGCTAACACCAGGACTCGGTGAGGCACGCCGGCCGGCAGGCGGCACCGCCCCGGCAGCGGGGGGAAGCGGCGGGGCCCGGCCCGGAAGAGGAGGGCTTTGCAAGGCGGTTCCGCGGCGGCTGGCGGTGCAGGGTGAGGGCAAGGCGGCGGGGGACAGCGGCGGTGGCTGTGCGGGAGGAGGGTGGGGGGGATCCGAGAGCCATTGCTCCCCCTCGGCTCTTCCCGCGGCGGGCTCCAACCGCAGCCGCTGGAGCTGCAGCGAGGCCCCAGCCGTTGTGAGGGGACAGGGCCCCGGCCCGGGCAGCCGGGAGGGGAGTGAGCCCTGATCGTTGCTAGGGGCACTGTTTGCCTTTATGCGGAGGAAGGTGACGGATTTCCCGTTACTGGCCCCCGCAGGATGAACACCGATATTAAAATTACTAATCGTGAGGAGAGCAGCTCCCCTTGCTCTCTGGAGAAGGCTGTAGTGCAGTGCGGTGGGTCCTCAGAGCAGTACTATCCTCCCACCCCGACAGAGCGAGTCCCTGAGTTCCTTGGAGGTAAAGACTAACGAGGCTAGCCCGTTGCGAAAAAAAAAAAAAGAGGATGAAGTCACTGGACATCCTGCAGGAATAACTCCTACACCTGCTTTAGAAAGGTTAATGCTGCGTCATTGGGTGCAAGGGGAAGGCTGGAGGTGGGCTCTGGAGATCACCAGGCACTGAGCTTTCTGAAGCTGACAAAAGGGCAGTTCAGCATACAGAAAGAATACTGTGCGGTATTGACACATAAACATCCCGCTTACCCTAGTCTCAAGCTGCTCATGGGTACAGCAAGGAGAA